AGAAGGTAAATGGAAAAGTAACTAAGTGTTAAGACAAAGAATGATAGTCCAGATACAAAGACTTGAATATATTATCAGCAAACCGGCCCATTGATAAATGAAAATAATCAATCAATCAATCAATCAACCTATCAATCAATCAACCAACCAACCAACCAATCAACCACCCAACTACCCAACCACGCACCGAACCACCAACCCAGCCACCCAACCAACCAACTGACCAACCAACCAACAAGTCAATCAATCAATCAATTAATTAATCAATCAGTCAAACAGTCAATCAATCAATCACTCAATCTAACAAGCAATGATTGGTCCGTTCTCACTTTGTAAAAATCGTTCTTGATGTTGCGGTACTTTCGTGGCAGATTAGGTATCCGTCTCATGAGGTTGCGCCAGATCAGGTAATTCATGACCACCCTGAAGAAATGGGATTTCAAAATACCAACATGATTTGAATCAGTCAAAATCATTTAAAAGTTCAAGTGATTCTAAAGATCGAAGTGATTTTGATAGATAGATATATCTCGACTTTTATTCAAAGTTGAATTTTCAATAGCGATTTTACACAGATATTTGATGATGATGACGATTTTTTGTTTCCTTAATGGGCCTGGCGGACTCCACGAAGAAATCTTCGAGCGAGAGCGAAGCTCTTTAAAATTCGGCTCCATTGTCAATATGCTAAGCGGCACCTCCACTCGTCCAAATAACGCTTCGAACTGCCATTGTTCCTGGACATTCAAACATATGTTTGACATCCTCCTTTTCAGGGCCGCATCTTCGGCAAAATAGGCTGAGCTCTTCATTTACAAAGTTCTTATACCATCTTAAGCTCCAATGATGGTCCGACCGCAGTCTCGCTAGCTCAACCTGGTCCTAGCGACATGTGATATTTTGTTCCCGCTTATAGGAGTACCCAGAATACACATCTTCCTGGTGCTGATACTTAGCTCTGCATGGTGGGTCTCTGATTTCCCTCTTGATCATTGGAAAGACTCCTCTGTATGTTGTTGGTCGTCTGTCTCCCTCAATCTCTCTAGCTTCATTAGCAGCTGCATGGTCTGCTGCCTCATTTCCTTCTATTCCAACATGGCTTGGAATCCACTGGATTTTTATTGTGGCTGTGGCTTCACTGAACTTGCAGCGCAAATCATTTATGTCCAAACTGTTGCCTTGCAGCCCCTTGCAGAGGGACTGACTGTCAGTCAAGATCAGCACATTAGTCCTACTGTGGCAATTGTCAGCAATCCATTGTGCAGCAGACATCATTGCCTGGCATTCCTTGTCATAAGATGGTGTAAGGAATGCACCTTTAGTTTTAATAATTTCTGTTTGTGGTGATTCATCATTCATTATCGCCACTGCTGCAGCTCCACCTTCGCGGTATCCTGCGACAGCCGATCCATCGGTGAAAATTGTCAAATCTGCACTAGCCTCTTTGATCACATCCTCTGCAGCTTCACGTGCCTTTACAGGATCATCACTTTTGCCTTTTTCTCCTCTTAGTTCTGTCAGAATTTTGATTTCGCCATGGGTCTTCCATGGACTAGCTTTCACCAGATTGATCGGCCATCGATTCTCTGCTTCAGGGGGAGAGGTGGTCTATTAAATCGGTGCCCATCCGAAAACAACTTTTCCTGCTGTTTTTAGGCTTGACTGCTTGATCAAGGGCTTTCTTTCTAGGATGGTTGTCTGGTAATCTCTTAGCCATCTCTACAGACTTGAGGCATGTTCTTTTTGTATAGGAGGTGTAGTGCTCAGTTCTGGTCTCATAGCGCAGCGCTTCTGTTGGTGTTGTTTTCAGCTGACCTGATACAAGGCGGAGGGCTTTGTTTTGTATTCTGTCCAGGGTCTTTGCACAAGTCTCACTCTGCCAAGGCTGCCAAGGCTGCCGAGGCTGCCACGCTGGGGCAGCATAATCTATCTTGCTTTTCACAAACATCTGATATACTTTCTTGAGCGACTCCTTACCCCAGCCCCATTTTGAGTTGCTGACAGCACCGATAACCTTCATTTTTTGAGGTTGCACTTTTGGACACTTCCTCAATATGCTTGTTGAAGGTTAGCTGTCTGTCCAGGTAGACACCCAGCAGGCGTGGAGAGGGGTTGAAAGGTATCTTTTTCCCTTCGATCTGAATTATTGATTGCACGTTGGCTCCTTCACAAATGTTGAGAAGAAGCACACCTCACTCTTGGTTGCATTCAAGATAAGCTTCCATCCATTGCTCCTTTTCACAACCATGTCCACAATCAATTGTGTCGCTTCATTTGCCTTTTCTCTCTTTGCGCGACTGGTCAATATTGTGCAGTCATCAGCGAACATGGAGTAGATCAGCTTGGCGGAGGTTAGTTGTTGCGAGTCAGGTTTGGAAGGGATTCTGCCAGGTTGTTTATGAAGAATATAAACAGCAGCGGTGATAGTACAGCTCCTTGGGGAATTCCTTGCTTGAAATTCTGGCTCTTGCTTGTTTCTCTATTCAGGCGAACACGGGCTTGTCTGTTTCTCAGGAAACCATGGATCCATCTGATTGCACGCAACGGAACTCCCTTGTCAGCTATTGACAGTAATAGTCTTTCAAGCCAAAG